CGACGTAAATACAAAAGTAAAACCGACGTAAGCACAAATCCAAGACAAGCATCCAAAACGATCTAGGCGTCGCCGCCGTCCTGCTCATCACCTACATATATATAGAGGGGTGAGTACAAAACTCAGTGAATGGTACTAAAAATAAAGGTTTTGCATGAACACTGCCGAGGTCCTTCAAACGAAACACATCGAAACTTTAACAAGACAGAGGATGAACCGTATTCATCAATCAAATATTACAAGTATCCAAAGATGTTTACTGACATAGGCGAAGCAAGGGATGAACCGTATTCATCATTCAAGTATCATAACATCAGTGAATGGTACTAAAAATAAAGGTTTGCATGAATAAGGCCAGAGTCCTTTAAAACGAAACACATCAAACTTTGCAAGGCAAGGGATGAACCGTATTCATCAGTCAAGTATCATAGCATCGGCAAAGCAAGGGATGAACCGTATTCATCATCAAATATCATAACATCGGCGCAAGGGATGAACCGTATTCATCAAGTATCGAAACATCGGCGAAGCAAGGGATGAACCGTATTCATCAAGTATCGAAACATCGGCGAAGCAAGGGATGAACCGTATTCATCAAGTATCGAAACATCGGCGAAGCAAGGGATGAACCGTATTCATCAAGTATCGAAACATCGGCGAAGCAAGGGATGAACCGTATTCATCAAGTATCGAAACATCGGCGAAGCAAGGGATGAACCGTATTCATCAAGTATCGAAACATCGGCGAAGCAAGGGATGAACCGTATTCATCAAGTATCGAAACATCGGCGAAGCAAGGGATGAACCGTATTCATCAAGTATCGAAACATCGGCGAAGCAAGGGATGAACCGTATTCATCAAGTATCGAAACATCGGCGAAGCAAGGGATGAACCGTATTCATCAAGTATCGAAACATCGGCGAAGCAAGGGATGAACCGTATTCATCAAGTATCGAAACATCGGCGAAGCAAGGGATGAACCGTATTCATCAAGTATCGAAACATCGGCGAAGCAAGGGATGAACCGTATTCATCAAGTATCGAAACATCGGCGAAGCAAGGGATGAACCGTATTCATCAAGTATCGAAACATCGGCGAAGCAAGGGATGAACCGTATTCATCAAGTATCGAAACATCGGCGAAGCAAGGGATGAACCGTATTCATCAAGTATCGAAACATCGGCGAAGCAAGGGATGAACCGTATTCATCAAGTATCGAAACATCGGCGAAGCAAGGGATGAACCGTATTCATCAAGTATCGAAACATCGGCGAAGCAAGGGATGAACCGTATTCATCAAGTATCGAAACATCGGCGAAGCAAGGGATGAACCGTATTCATCAAGTATCGAAACATCGGCGAAGCAAGGGATGAACCGTATTCATCATGTATCGAAACATCGGCGAAGCAAGGGATGAACCGTATTCATCATGTATCGAAACATCGGCGAAGCAAGGGATGAACCGTATTCATCATGTATCGAAACATCGGCGAAGCAAGGGATGAACCGTATTCATCATTCAAGTATTACAAGTCTCAAAGGATGCTTACTAACATCGGCGAAGCAAGGGATGAACCGTATTAATCAATCAAGTATTACAAGTCTCAAAGGATGCTTACTAACATCGGCGAAGCAAGGGATGAACCGTATTAATCAATCAAGTATTACAAGTCTCAAAGGATGCTTACTAACATCGGCGAAGCAAGGGATGAACCGTATTAATCAATCAAGTATTACAAGTCTCAAAGGATGCTTACTAACATCGGCGAAGCAAGGGATGAACCGTATTAATCAATCAAGTATTACAAGTCTCAAAGGATGCTTACTAACATCGGCGAAGCAAGGGATGAACCGTATTAATCAATCAAGTATTACAAGTCTCAAAGGATGCTTACTAACATCGGCGAAGCAAGGGATGAACCGTATTCATCAATCAAATATCATAA